TATAAATATTTAATATTTTAAAAATAAAAATATTTTATCCAGTGTATCTAGGTTTATAGCAGAAAGGTGTGATCCATCATGCTGAGAGACTCAGAACCTACTAAACCTTTCCATCCCTCAGTTTTTCCATCTTTAAAATGATACTACTAATAATAGTACCTACTTCATGGGGTTCTTGTGAAGCTTAAATGTGATCATTCACGTAGAGCACTTCACACTCTACGAAAAGAGTGCCCAGAACATAGTAGGCACTCATTGAATGTTAGCTTAAATTATTGCTTTGTTGAGAACTGAGTCCATCATCTTCCCACCAGTGTCTTCTCTCCTGCATCTCTCTAATTGAATGGCACCACCAACTACTCAGTCACCTAGGACTGAAATGTGGGAGACATTCCGGATTCCTTCCTCACCGCCCCCCACCACCTGCGAATCTCTACCTCCTTACTGCCATTTGAATATGTCCAACATTTCTAAGTCCCATAAAAATATATACATGATACTTGTTTAATAGAATTAAAACAAATGAAACAAAAATACTTTGAAGGAGTTCAAAGAGATGAAAGGGAAAGCAGGATGATAGGCACAGCATTCGAGATGGTGGCTGCCTGGGCAGAAGCCAGAGGCATGGAATGAGAGCAGGTCACTGTCTGTGGTCCAGTTAGTTCCCTCTGGGGCAGTGGTTTCCCAGGTTTTAATTGTATTTTTAAAAATGCTTTTTAAGGGCACCTGGGTGGCTCAGTCAGTTAAGTGTCTGCCTTCGGCTCAGGTCATGATCCCAGGGTCCTGGGATCAAGTCCCACATCAGGCTCCTTGCTCAGCAGGGAGCCTGCTTCTCCCTCTCCCTCTGCCCCTCCCCCTGCTCGTGTTCTCTCTCTCTCTCTCAAATAAATAGATAAAATCTTAAAAAATAAAATAAAAATGATTTTTAAGAGAGAGACTCACATGCACCAGTGATAAGAATCTGTCATGAACCAAGGATTATGCTTAATCTTGTTTTGTGTTCCAGGAGAGAGACTTCATGTTCAACACATTAGATTGTTCACCAATGAAGAAGAGGGTTTTGGAGGAGAGAGTAGGAGATAAAAAAGAATGCGTCACTCAAGGAAGCACTCATGCACGGCCTCTGGAGTGGGGCCTATAGGCTGGTGATCATGGTTCATAAACCAAGAAATACAAATCAAGCCCACTTTGCACCTCTGTGTTTTATTTTTTATTCTTTGATTCAAGAGAGATTGAACTTTTTAGTATATTCAATGCCTATTTGTATTTCTTCTGTGAATAGTTCATTGTTTTAATGGATGGGATTCTCATTTTATAAGTGGTTTTATATGGTAAGGATTTAGCTTTTACATTGCAAACATTTGCCCCAATCCTTCCTGGTAGAAGTTTTGTCTCTTTTTTTTCCCAGGTAGAACTCTGAAAGAAATGTTGACTCAGGCCTTCAGCGGACCCATCCTATATCCATGACACTGGGACCTCACAGCTGATGGAAATATACAATGCTGCTGAGACAGAACATCTCCCAGGGAAACCCCAGAGTCTTCCTACTCATTGAGCCTCTGTACCACCCTTGGACTCCTATTAAATGGCATCTGCCAAATGTTGGGGAAAATCACACACATGCTTTAGCCCTACCTAGGAGCTCAGCCTGGGTGGCTTTATCTAGGGTTGGGCTCTGGACTGGCCTCAGGAACTTTGCCTGTGCCTTCCTTTCCTGGTCCTCCATTCCCCTCCTGTGCATCTGGGGTCTCCTTTCCCTGAGCCCCTCCCTTTCCTGGGCAACAGTAAGGGGCCTGGCTGGTGTTGGAGTCCATGAGCTACTGGAGTTGGGAGGAGGGAGTGCTCTTCTGCACTTGGACCTGATTAGGGATTATTAATCAGAAGTTATCACTAATTAAACACCGGCTCTTCTGGTCCAGCATTACTGACATTGATTCTGACCTGGGTTCTCAAAGTCCCTGCTTTAACAAACAACCAAGTCTGATGATCGTTTTGATCAAAGCCAGAGGTTAGGGTCCAGGCTGGCCCAGGTCACCTTTACAAGGCTCCTTCCACCTGGAACACTGTTCCCTTCCCTCTTGGGGCCTCTGGCCTCCTGACCGTTCACTCTGGGAATCTTTCCAGGTCACTTTGAACTCTGAGACCATGAACCCCATGCTCCTGACTGCCCTTCAGGTCCCTGTCAACTCACACCTACCTGTCCCTCTGGACTCACTCGGGTTTTTCTTTTTTGTGTTCACTTTTCCTTATGCCCGAATTCATTTGGTTTATCCAGCAATACCTTGAGAGGAATAAATGAGAGTATCAGCTATTTACATGCTAGTACGAATTAGCAGTATGAAGTTCTGCAGTGGAACCTTTGGGGGAATCTAGGGAACTATACGGAGAGGGAGGATTTAAAGAGGAGGGAAAACAAGGATGAGGTGAGCAGAGCTTCCCCGACAATGAAGCCAAGGGCACAAAGGCAAACTACAGCTTGTCTCTGGAGCAGTAACATCATCCTCTTTGTGACTTCCTGAAGCTGCTGGCCTGGGCTGGCTCCAGTTTTGACTCAGCAAGAATCTCTGGCTGAAGAGTAATGCCCCCATCTGAGGATCTAGGGCTCGCCTCCCTAGGCCTCTCAGAGAAGTCACAGTGGAGGCAACAAGGGAGAGGATATCACTACGTCCATCTAGGCAGGAAGGCAGCCATGTTAGTTGAGCTCCTTCCATGAGCTGACCACACAGGTGTAATTTTCTCCTTTAATCCTCACCATAGTTCTGGGAAGCAATACTATTATGATTCCCATTTTCTAGATGAGGAGACTGAGGCTTGGAATCGGTGGAGTTCCATTGCCCCCAGCTTCAAGATCAGCAAATGAGGGACCCAGGATTGGATGGCCCCAACGATATAAGGTAGCACTGGTGACCCTTTTCCCCTAGCTCCCCTTCTCGGTATGGCCAAACCTGAAGTTGAAGAATGAGCTTCTGGTAGCGGGACTTCTGACCTTAGTAACCAGTGGAGAAAATATCCAAAGTCATTAATATGCTGAAGCAGCTCCCACAGGCTTGTGAGAGCCAGTTATGCAACATCTGGGAGGCATCCAACAAACACTCATGATATTAACCAGTTCTGCATTTGGGGATGTCAAGTTGGTAGCTTGAAACTGGTCATGGTGGGGATATTTACACCATGGCAAATGCTACAATTGGAGCTTCCTCTCCTTCTTGCATGTGCTCCCCACCGCCACCCCCATCCCTGAGAGCTGGTTATTAAACCTTTACTGGCATACCCCTGATCAAGACCCCATGAAGCCTGACCTACCCCTGCCCATTTCCCTCCGTCCTTATCTGTGTCTCCATCACCTTTCCTCCTCGACCTGCCACATCGGTGCCGTAGCTGCCCTCCTCCCCAGCCAAGAGCCCTTGGGGACAGGGGCCCATGCAGGTTCCCCGTGGTCTGGCCATACTGAGCGTGCTGTCCACAGTGCAGCTGTGACTAGTGAACAAATAAACAAGCTCAAACGTTACCCCAAAAAGCCACACCAGCTTTCAAAATGTAAAACCAAGAATAACATCTGAGATCACTTCTAGTGAACAAAAATTATGCTGGCCTCCTTACAATTTGGAAATCATACCCTTTAAAATGCAACCCAAATTCTCCCTTCCCAAAAGGCTGCCCAGGCTGCTAGCCTGGTGTAACTCCTGCCCCAACCCCCAGCACTCGCAGAAGGTCACTCCTCAGTCGTGGAGCCTGGCTCCTTGGGCGGAGTCACCTTTTGAGAGTGGCTCGCCCCCTCTGCGAGGCAGAGGTTGGAACTCATTAGCACAGGGCTGGCATCTGAGAGGAATTCAACAAGTGACCATGGACTCAATCAGTACTGTCACCTCTCTTCATCCCTTCTTCTCACGCCTCATTTTTCCCTTGCCTGGTTTTCTGCCTGCCCCCCACTTGTGCCCTGGACACAGCAGAGCCAAGACCCTCCTTGTGTGGGGCCTCTCCCCAGCCCAGGCCAGCGTGCCAGTGGGCCTTGGGAGCCCCGAGCCATGGAGCACGTCCAGCCCACTGCTCTCCTGGAGCCATGTTCAAGTGCTGCCTCCAGTTGGCACAGCCTCCCTGGACCAATGTCACAGGATGTGCCCTCTGGCCACCCCCAGCTTCCTCCCTCAGGAGGCTCCCCTCCCCAGGAGGCTCTGGGAGGACTGGGGTGGAGATGGAGTCCCAAGGCCTGGACTCCACCCTGGCTCAGCTTGGGATGGGCCCCCTCTGCCTATAAATCTGGTTTGACCATTCTGCATTTCTGGCCTCGCTGTGGCTGGAAAAATTGAAGCAAGGAGCTCTGAAGTGACGCCCTCTCTGACTGCAGCGTCTGGCTGTGGAAAGTGCTCCGGCCTTGGGACATAGGTAGAAGAATACTTGCCTTTGGGTGAACTGGTAACAGCTGGGGATCACTCTATTCCCCCACCGCCCCGGGGTTTGAGAAAACACCAGATGTTCAACTCTACTGCATATATGACAATTACAGCAACAACGGTGACAAACACCCACCACTTCCATAGCACTTAGGTTGGGCCAGGCTCTGTTCTCAGAACTCGGCATGCATCCGTTCATTTCATCTTGGCAATACCACCCTGATGCAGGTGCTATTATCATCTCCATTTTATATAGGAGGAAAATTCGTCACAGAGAGGCTAAGGAACTTGCCCGAGGCCACACAGCTAGTAAGTCACAGAGCTGGGATTTGAACGCAGGCTGAGTCTGAGCTAGCTCATTAAAAGACAAGGGTGAAGGATGGGGACTAGAGATGAAGTGACAGGAGACCAGGCTGCAGTTGTTGCTTGGGGTGCCTGAATGGAAGAGGCTGGGGGGCTGATGGTATGTGAAAGAAAAACAGGGAAAGGAAAGGCGAGCCACACAAGGAGGCCCTGAAGGAAGAAGTTCGGTGCCTCAGGAATAGCACACTGGGAGAGAACTCATGAACAACCTACTCGGGGCAGAGCCGGGTCTCTGCTTCACTGCTTGATTTGGGATGCCCTTGGGCTTGAACTTCGGGCCCTGCCAGCCCTAATACAAAGTCAAGGCTTCCGTCCTGGAGCTCTTGACTTGCACAAGCCTGTCTTCTCGCCCATAAAATAAATAGCACTCACAGCAAAGAATTTTGTGAGGAGTAAATCGCGGGCAATCATTTTAACAGCTAACATCATAGAGCCCTGACGGTGTGCTGGGTGCTGGGGCAAGGAGTTTTACATGTATTGACTTACTCAATCCTCACATTTACCTTACAGAAGTTATAGAAGTTAAATACTATTATCAGCCCCATTTTATAGCTGACAACACTGAAGCACAGAGAGGTTAGGGAACTGGCCCAAGATCACACAGCAAGTGACTAGTAGATCCAGGAATTGAAACCCAGATTTTTTTTAAAGATTTTATCTATCTATGTATTTATTTTGAGAGAGAGAGAGAGAGCGAGCACAGGGAGAGGGGCAGAAGGAGAGGGAGAGGGAGTGAATCTCAAGCAGACTCCACGCTGAGCGTGGAACCCACCATGGGGCCTGGCTCAATCTCACAACCCTGAAATTATGACCTGAGCCGAAACCAAGAGTTGGACGCTTAACCGAATGCGCCCCCCCCAGGCGCCCCTCCCAGAGTCCATGCTCTTAAACACTGAGTCATACTGCCTCTCAGAGAAAATAACAAGCCAGTTGTAGTCCCCTCTGCCAAGCTTTCTGTGTATTCATGTACTCACTGCTCACAACAACCTTGTGAGACAAGCACTATTCCACTCCCATTTTACAAATGAGGAACTGAGGCTCAGAGAGGGGGACTAATCTGCCCAAGGCCACTCAGCAAGTGTGCTACAGGGTCAGAAACGGAGTCCCTGCAGCGGATCCAGGGCCAGAGCCCTGGACCATATGCTGGGAGCTCCACTGCTGGGAGCCCTGACCTCAGACTCACGGGATGGACAGCTACCCTCTTCATGGTCCACTATGAGAAGCCTTGCATTTGGACTCATTGTGATGTATAAAACACAATGAAAACAATAGTAACGGGTCCTGACATTTACACAGGGCTCCATGCTTCCCCAGACTCTTATAGCCTGGTCCTTGCAAGTCCTCCTGGGTCCCTTGTTAGAGGCAGCAGGTGTTACCTCCATGGTTTCTCAGGAAGCCCAGAGCCACACCACAAATCAGGCAGAGCTGACCTTAGAGCCTCGAACTGCAGAGCCCTGGACCGTGGCACACTCTCCTTTTCTCTTTACTTTTTTTAACATGTATTTTTCCTGATTACAAAAATAATATGTGCGCAATGTAAAATGCGGAAATATAAGGGCAAAAAATAGAAAAGAGGCTAATTGCCTCCAGGAATAATCTTTGGGAATGTTCTGGTGTATCTTGTCTGTTTTCATGTCCAGAGCTCCGCCCACTGCACTAAACCCCCCTGGATTTGTGGAATCACAGAGCCTGGCCGGAAGAGCGGTTTGTCCAGTCCCCTGCAGGGCATGAGGGCCTTTGAAGTTTCCTCCTGCTCCCTGGGAGATGTGAGGCCCGCCTGCTCCCCATGCTCCCTGGGACCCACATTACTTAATGTTTCCTGGCTCTTATCAGGGACTGGGGATGTTTGCGACATTGATAAAATCACAAGGCAACCCCTCCTCCCAAAGCTTATTTCAGTTAATAAAAACGAAGTGGTTTTAGAGCCCAACTCTTGAAGGAGCTGCTGCAGAAGCAGGTATGATTGTCATGTCATGTCTTTCCTGAATCGTTTTTGCTTTTACCTCAGTTTTGTCTCTCTCATTGTCGCCTGAACTCTTACCACGAGAGCTCCTTGCATTTATAGTTCAGCATTATGCTTGGCTCAAAATGAAATACAGTCATCATCTCCACTACCCTCAGGGAGGGTGGGACACTCAGCATGGTGCAGCATGGAAGAATAGACAGAATAGATTAGTCCACTTCTTAATGGCTGAGTCACCCTGGGCAGATTGCCTAACCTCTCTGAGCCTTACCTATAAAATGTCTCCTTCCTGAAGTTTTTCTAATAATTGAATGAGTGCCATAACTATCGGTTCCCTTCCAGGCCCATAAATAACACTTGGCTTAGCCCGGGATAGATAAGAGAAAATCCTGAGACTGTCTGGGGCAGAAGGAAGGAGCTGAGGACCTGGGCAGGGAGTAACAAGAGAGGACCAGGGGGCACAAGGAGAGCATGTGGATGTGTGCAAAAGAAGACCACAGAGCTGGGGGGTGGTTTAAAGACCATCTCATCTGTCTCCGCTGGGGAACCCGAGGCCCAGGGAGGAAAGGGAATGCCTGAGGTACTCAGTTGTCTGATACCAACTCTCAGGGACTTTCAGAATCCACAGAGCAGATTCTCAGAGCGGGAGTCAAGGGGGATGTGGTCAGCAGACAGCCTCACTCCCCAGCTGCTGAGGCAACTGCTCCAAGAGTTGCCCTAAAGAGAATGCTCCACCCTGACCCATTCACACTTCCCTCTCCCCACACCTGTGGCCACTCTCTAAGCCACCGGACCCAGTCTCTCCCTGCAGCCCGTGGGTAGGGCCCACCCCACTCCAGCCATGGCCATAACCTCCCAGAGCCAGACCCACTTGCCGAGGGGTGTCCAACCTCACCCAGGAGGAGAGCAGCAGCTCCTGGATCCTGCTTCCTCAGAGAAGTGCAGAGAGAGTATGAGTCTTTCGCCCGCTCTGGATCAGCCCTGCACACATCCCGCTTTATTCCGGAACAAAGCATCCCTTTGCGCCTGCCCCAGCCTATTTCCCTCCCTGGAAACGAGTCAAGCCCAAACGACCGCCCCTCATTAAGGAGCAACTCCCCCCCACCCAAAGACAATCTACTGACTTCGGAAAACACGCGTCCCCAACCACACCTCTCTGGATCAGTTCCCGGGCAGCTGGGCCAAGGAGACGAACAGCTCCAGTCCGGACCTTCAGGCCTTTGCTAGGCAGCTTTTCCCAACTCCAGCCAGCTGCATCGATCTCAGACACCTCTCCAGCATGATCTTACTACCATCCTCCCCCACATCTCCTCTGTCCATAACTCCCACCAAGCAGAGCTGTGTCTGCGTCCCCAGAGTGTCAGCACGATTCTCATCTCCTAGACTTTCCAAACCATCTTCCCCCTTCCCCCACCCTTCTCCCTCTGCCACCTGCATCGCAGCATGTATCTCTGCCTGATTATTTGTCTGCTCTCCTCCTGGGTCAGGAACTCCCAGGGCAAGGACCATACTTGACCCACCAGCCTGAACCTAGGGCCAGGCAAGAGCAGAAACTCACTGACTCTGTGTGTGTATGTGTGTGTGTGTGTATGTGTGACATTCTGCTTGCCATATGCTTGCCAGTATGAGGGTACTTCTCTGCCAGGACAGCACCTGTGGTCTGGGGGCAATGTCTCGGCCACCTCCCCCTCCAACCCCACTACCAGCCTGATACACAGCAGGTGCTTGGTCAATGCCTGCTGTCTGTACCTGAATTAAGCAGTAACAGAATAATGCCAGGTGGTCACAGTTCCCGGCATTGGAGTCACACAGTGCCGGGCTTAACTCTGACTCTGTGCGTACCTGTGTGTGATCTAGAGAAGGTGGCTTCACCTCTCTGCACCTTGGTGTTCAGATCTGTATTGGGGGTGGGGACGCTGCCTTCCTCGGATAGCCACCATGAGAACTAAAATGTCCCCAGAGAGGTGGACATGGACTTCAACATCTGCCTTTCCCTGGGGTCCACAGGCCACCTAGCGTGGAGGTCAAGCTGTGATGGGTTCTCACTCCAAGAGAGGGGAGCAGAGGACCTTCCAAGTGGGTGGGTCTCCAAGTCTCTCCAGGCCAGATGCTCGTTATCAACAGGGAGGATAAAGAATAAGGAGATGCCCAACAGAAGCCATAGAGCCCTGGTTCCATCCTGGGGATGGATAACCTTTTAAGATTGGCTTTTCTTCCATTCTGTATTAAGTCTCTCGAGAGAATTAGAACAGTTAAGTTCTAGAACCTAGGCTCTTTCCTCATCCCCCCCACCTTGTTCAAACTTTTTATTTTAAGATAATTTTTAGACTTGCAAAAATTGTGCACAGAATTTCTATACACCTGTCAGCCAGTTTCCCCTGATGTGAACCACAGAACCACAGTATAATGATCTAAACCAAGAAAGTAACATTGACTCAATACCATTCTACAGACCTTATTCAAATGTCACCAACTGTCTGACTAATGTCCTTGCTCTGGTCCAAGATCTGAAGCAGACTCCCACATTGCATTTGATTGTTGTGGCTCCTTAGTCTCTCCATTTCTGGGGCAGTTCCTCAGTCTTGCTTTGTCTTTCATGACCTTGATAGTTTTGAAGAGGAATGTAGAATATCCCTAACTTTTGGTTTGATGCTTCTTCAAGATTAAATTACAGTTATGTATTTTAGGCAGGAGCACCACAGAAGTGATGTTGTGTCCTTCTCAGTGCATTATACCAGAGGTATATGATTTCAATACATCTCATTACTGGCGATGTTAACTTTAATCACCTGGTAAGATGGTGTCTGCCAGGTTTTTCCACTGTAAAATTACTATTTATTCCTTTGTAATTAATAAGCATCTTGTGGGGAGGTACTTTGAGATTATGCAAATACTCGTTCTTATCAACTTTTGCCCACTAATATTAACATTCATTGATGATGTTGACAATTTTTACTGTATTGTTTGCCAAACAGTGATTTTCTATTTCCATAATTCTTGTGTGTGTGTGTGTGTGTGTGTGTGTGTGCTGGTAAAGTTTATTTACATTGCATTTTATCACATCAGTCACATTTAAGTCCTGAAGACTTGTATTTATTTACATAGAGAATCCAGTACATTCCTGGGAGATTTTTTTTTAATTAAAGATTTTTATTTATTTTTTGACAGAGAGAGAGAGACAGTGAGAGAGGGAACACAAGCAGGGGGAGTGGGAGAGGGAGAAGCAGGCTTCCCTGCCAAGCAAAGAACCCGATGCGGGGCTCGATCCCAGGACCCTGGGATCATGACCCGAGCCTAAGGCAGACGCTAAATGGCTGAGCCACCCAGGCGCCCCTGGGAGATTTTTTTTTTTTTTCAAAAACAAAAACAGGGGTGCCTGGGTGGCTTAGCCGGTTAAGTGTCTGCCTTTGGCTCAGGTCTTGATCTCAGGGTCCTGGGATGGAGCCCTGCATGGAGGTCCCTGCTCAGCTGGGAGCCTGCTTCTTCCCCTCCTCTGCCCCTCCCCACACTAGCACGCGCTCTCTCTCTCTCTCTCTCTGTCTTGAGAAAACAAATAAAATCTTTAAAAACAAAACAGGAGGCAACTAATATGACAGTTGGGTAGCTTAATGAACCTCATGCTTCTTGGGGGCTCATCTGGGATTTTAGAGTGAACTATATCCAAGGGCTGCCAATGGCAACTCATGAGAGAGTCGTAGAGTTCCTTGCTTTTCACCATAAAGTCCTTGTTTAATTCCTCAATATTCAAATGAAGTTTTGGATCTTCCAGTGGGTCTTCATCTTGCTTTTCTGCCAGAGCTGTGCTTTCCTCAGGCGTGACCAGAGTTGCAGCCGGGCGTCCAGAGGTCCCGTGCACAGAAAAGTTGTGTGCATTTCCATCTGCTCCACAGCCACACTTGGAGCCAGAAAGGGAGGAACCACTGTGCGTTGCTCAAACTAGTTGCCCGAGTGGTAACCCTGGCAGGGCTGGAACACTGGCTTCGCCTCTGCCAGGACCAGTAACAATTACTCTGTGGAGCTATGCCAAAACCTGCGAGACTCTCCTCCCCAGTCTTTTATCCAGAAACTTTACAAAATGACACCAGTTTTTATGCCTACGTCAAAAATTCCAGCTCAGGGAGATAAAACCTCTTACCCCAGCAAATCACTCTCACAACTTCCATCATTCTTTTTACGTTTACTAATTGGGCTTTACCATAAAAAAGAATTGGCCCTTCTCTCAATTTATTTATGTATATCAATATGGACTCATGAGCATTAATTTTATTCCATTATTATCATCATTGATTTTGCTGTTCAAATTGTCTCATCCTCTTTCGAAATACCTCAGCCCATCTGCTTCCTCTTGAGCTGAATTTCCAGCCACAGCCCCTCAGACACCTACTCCCTGGTGTGAAGGGCAGGTTGTGGAGGTTCACAGCCCTTGCACCGATGGCCGGGTTTCTGGGGAATTCACTGAGGCATTTTCCCAGCAAAGGCTGGATCCTCCTGGAATTGGCAGGGAGTTCCAGGAAGGGCTGAGCCTGGCCAGGTAGGCTCTTCCATAATTCACCCTGCCTTCCATAGACCCACCCCAGTCGTGACCCAGGAGCAGCACCAGCCGACCACCTCATGTGTCCTGCGTTTTTCCTTCTTGACCCGCTCTTCTCTGCCTGGCTGCCGGGATAGTAGCCGAGAAGTCAGGCGGCAGACAGCTGGGCAGCACTTGACCATATTCTTTGATGCAGAGGAAGCACCCTCCTCCTGGGGTTTAGTTCCCAGCTGTTCTCCACGGGTCCCAAGAGTAGCCAAAGCAGAGAGAGCAGGGCACCGCAGCAAGAGAGACTACTTAAGGACAAGAGGGACTTGCCCATGTTGACGTGGGCCGGGAGGAGAAGGCTCTGAACTCATCTTCTTGCTCTTTAAGATGTGCAAGGATAATTCGCCCCGGGAAGGGTGCAGACCCCAGCCCCTGAAGCCAGGCAGCCAGGATGCACAGGGCCCTCTCCTACAGGATGCCATGTTGCTTCAACTTCAGAATAGAGATCCTAAAATACATACTGCTCTCACATGCTCCTAACACACAATTATAACACGTTGGACACATCTACTATTACAGCAAAAAGTGACACCACATTTTCAAAACACCTGCTTCTATTGTCAATCAAGGACTTGAATCCGTGAAGCTTTTGCTGGCAGCCTGACCCTTCCTGTCCTCCACCAGCCACTCCAGGCCCATCTCCCCGCAGAAGCTTCCCCAGTCTCTCCAGGCCTCCGTGATGCCCTGCTTTGAGCTTCCTGAGTCCGTAGGGGAAATATTGTTCAGGGGCAAGTCTGTCTCCCTACCAGACTGCAAAGTCCTCATAGCCAGAGGTTTTGTTCCCCTGCACGCAGAGTGCCTGGCACTACTCACACGGAGCCCAAGCCAGAGGGCCGGGCAGGTGATTTGCTGGCATAGCCCGGCCAGCTCTTGACAAGCTGGCGTTCTCATGGAAGAGCGCCAGTTTGGCCCTGCCTCCCACTCTGCCTCACTCTCCATCTCTTTCTCTCTATTTCTCTGTCTTCCTTGGGCAAACTTCGTCCCCTTTTGGGCCAAGCCCATGACAGGGTCAGTCTGGACTCTCTCTAGGCTCTCCAAGTTGGAATTTCTAAGCTACAAACTTGCCCCCCAATTTAGAAGTTCTGGTAAAGTCCATGTTTACTCACGTTGGATAGATGTCGTTTCCAGAATCTCGCGCCAGACCAAGTTCTTCCTATCATGCTCCATTGACGGCACAACAGGAAGGAAATTTTGCTCATCTCACCTCTTCCATTTCCTCTTTCTGTGCCGCCCCCACCGGCTGATCCCTTCTAGCCACCCAGCCTGTCTCTCCTTTTGTACCTCTGCCCAGTGTGTTGTGTTCAGGGCTTTGGGAGGGGGCTGCTTTCAGCAGAGGGAGGGAGGGCGTGTGTAACCTTCCCACCATGTACCAGTCCCTTGCCTTGGTACAAATATATTTGTTTGCAATCAGTGTATTTATTCATTTATTAAAATATCTTCAACCACATATTA